CCGGCAGGAGGAGGGGACAGGCGGCCGCGAGGAGCTGCGTGCGACACCGCCTGTTCTCGGTGGCCTGACGCACCCCACGGCCTCCAGTACGCCCGGGCGCCACGGGGGAGGGGGCCACCGGCGCTCTATGGGAGCGGCGGTTTTCGCCGGGGCTTTGAGGTTCCCGCCGCCTCGGCTCCGGCGCTCCAGGAGGGCGGGGCTTGGCGACCGCCGCGCATGCTTTGTGCGGTCCTGCGCCGTCTCGCGCTGCCGGCGAGGCGGGGGCGGCTGGCGGCTGGGCGGGTGAGAGGGCGCATGCTCGAGAGAGCCCTCCACCTGGAGGTCTAGGAAACTCCTCGACTAAGTGGTGTTTGCGCTTTGTTCGCGGCCTCTGGGCTCGGGGGCTTGATCCAGGACAATCCCCCAATGAAGAAGCACCTCCCATAGTCTTCTATGGGCTTGAATTTGTTAATCAGAGTTGGGCTTTCAAAAAACCTTAATTAAGGTTGTTATTGGCACAACTTTTACGTTTGCAAAACCCTTCGCAGTTGCAGTTCTTAACCTAAGGTTTGAGATCGCTCTTGCCGTCCCTAGAACTTTTTGTAGGTTTGATGTGAGATGTGCTTTAGAATAGAGGGTCAGAACTTTTGCCAGACTCTCAGATAACCCCTCCATAAAAGTAAGAACTTCGCTGAGGGTTTAGAATCTGACATTATGGAGAGGTCCTCTTCCTATAAGCACCCTTGAAAGGATGTCTAAGTGTTACCAGTCTAGAGGTGTTTCCCCCAAAGAAGCTCAGGCCATGTATAAGTGGTTGTGGTAAACATTTGCTACATCCATCCACCTTATAGATGAGGAAACGGGGGCACAGGGAGAGGGAGTTTGAGAACCTTGTGCAAGATGAGATGGAACCAGATTTCCAAATGGCTCAGCTTTCTGATGTTATGCCTTTGCAAAGTCTTCGGGAAGATGCTTAATAACTGCCTCCCAGTGAAAGGGTGGAGGAGGAGAGTGAAGGAGAGCCGGAGTACCTGACATGTCTTGCAGTCGGGAGGTCTTGCCAGGGTTTGGGGCCAGGCCAGTGTCAGAGAAATGGCCAGAGTATTGAGAAACTGGAACACAGGAACTGCCTACCTTTGGCACGTCAAATCTGCTGTGTAAAGACTCAGGCATTTCCTTTCCAATCACAGTGTGTTAGGAGTAAACGAAAAAGAAATGGCAGGTAGGCTTCTGCCTCCTGTATTTTATTTTGAGTTTCCAAAACCAAGATTTAGTCTTTGAATATCCACTCCCACAGTTGTCATCTGCGGTGTTGCAGTCGACCTGTTAGAACAGTGGGTTGTGTTGTTGGGAAGGAAGAGTTTCCTACCCCAATGCTGAGATTCACCCAAGAACTTAGTCACTGAGAGGGAGTGGGCAAGGACAGCAGATCTCCAGCCGGCCTGCCTCTGTCTCCACCAGCACTGCACTGTCAGTTTCTCCGATGGAAATAGCATTTGGTTAGTTTTACTGGAGGATTCTGTTGCTCCCATGAGAAGTCATAGCGGTCCATTGAATTTGGGTTTATTTTTACATTTAATTTATGTTTCAAAAATTCCTTTTACCTATATATTTATCCCCATTCCCTTTGAAAACAAGAGGCTTCCTAAGCTGGTTGCTTTGGGATGGTCTGCAGGCCATCCTGGAGAATTACAGAGCTGGAGCCTCAGCATCAAGGAGACTCTGAGAAATGATGGTCCAACAAATGATGCTCGCTGTGCCTTGTGGGAAGTGCACACCCAAAGCTTTCCGTTTTCATTAGCATAGATTGAGTGTGGGTCCAGAGGCAGGCCTGGCATCCCCACTCCTTGTCTTCCCTGCGTCTCCTGCAGCTGTCCCTGGCCCAGTTTCTGGTCTCCAAGGGAAGCGCAAGGTCTCCCCCTGTTGAGCCGTTCCTGGGGAGCCTATCTGCTACCACAGGCCTGCAGCAATCCTTAGCTTGTTTCAGAAAGAGCTTTCTTGATGAGAATTTTGCAAGCCTTGTCTCTGTTTTGGGTGCTTGAAGGAGGTTTGTGTCTGAGCAGCTGCGGAGAATTGTCTAAAACCACGTTGCTTTTAGTTAACGCCAAGCTGCAGGCACAGGTCTTGTGAAAGATGAACCGATACTTGAGGGGAAAGATGACGTGAGTCGGGGTGGTTCTTTTACAGGACATAGGACATTGTTAGGATTTTAGTCTCAGAAAGTGCTCTCATTAAGGTTTACATATAGTTGGGTCAGATGAGTATCTTAGGATTGTCTAGGATTGAGTCAGGCTTTCCCTGTGAACCTTACAGCCCTGTAGGTGAAGCAAGCAGCGGTGCTGAATGCTATAAAGCAGGTGGCTGTCGCAAGCGACAGATTGTCCATGTCTTTGTCATTTTCCCAGTCTTGGGTTGCTAGGGTTTTGTGGACCCTGAGACAGACTAACATCTGAAAGGATCAAATAGTTATAACTGAAAACTGAGCTTTGAAGTCTGTTTTAGTTAATAGCCCATTAGGGAATTTGTTGTTGCCGGCATTTCTTCTTTGAGTGGTTTTCCCTCCTGGAGCGCAGCAGTCTTCTAAGTGGATGTGTGTTAAAAGGTAGACACTCAACCTTGGAACACTCGGGCAGTGATTCAGGAATTGCTTTGGATCAGAAATCCCATTTTGTTGACTGAGGAAGCTCAGTGCGTGTTTCTGACATTGCTGTTCATCTCAGCCCAGGTTACCTGACCAGGTTGTTGGGAGGCAGCAAGGTGAAATGAAATTCGCTCATCCTGTTGGGCACAATGTGCTTAAGCTTCTCTGTCACATGGCCTTTAGACTCAAGCAGTATTGCAGACACTGAGTTCATCCGAAAAATACTCTCTGGTCCCATCAGTGGTTAGGCTCTTGAGGCTCACTAACCTGCTGACTCTCAGCCCTGAAGCCCATGCGGTGGCAAAGCCCACCCCCAGTGGAACTAGGCAGGCATCAGGGGCTTTTCCTTTTCCATGGGGTGAAATGACTTGGTTGTAGTAAAGAGCTGACATGAGCTGTGATCTGAGGGGTGTGAGGAATCCTCCTGTTCTTTCATTTAATTTTTATTTCCATATGGTGGAGGGAAAAATTAAATAATAGAGACATAAAAGTAAGCAACAGACAGCAAACAATTGTGTGGTGGTGTTGTTGTTGTTTGCTGTCGAGTAGGTCCCGACTCATAGCAACCCTTCTTGGGTTTCCAAGGCAGTATCACTACGGAAGTAGGATTGCCCAACCTTCCTTCCGAAGAGTGGCTGGTGGGTTTGAACCGCCAGCCTTCTGATGAGCAGTCAAGTGCCTTAGGCACTATGCTACCAGAGCTTCAACAATTGTGTAGACAATGCCAATGAAAATGTTTTATTTCATGTGTAAGAAAATAAGGCCCATGACATAAAAACTTGAGTGAGACAGCAGTTAATTCCATTCGTAGGATTCCCACAGCTGAGCTGGAGGGGAGACTCGGTTTACTAAGGTTTTCCACAGATATTTTTCTGGGTTTTTGTTGGCCTGATGGGCCAACCGTGGTCGAGCCCTCTGCCCAGCCCGCTGTTTCCTTAACGGTGGCTACAGGGCCAGTGCTGGGGGTCTTTTTGTATAGAGCTGCATCTCAGTGTAGAGTGGCTTAAGGATCTCAGTGGTGGATATTAGTTACTCTTGAACCCTCTTGCCTGTCTGGGCAGGGCGAGCTGCCTGGCCCGCCAGTGCCCTGTCCTGACTTTGTCTGTCCTGGCAGCTCCTCTCACAGCACCTTAACTCGCTTCTGCTGTCGTTGCTGCCCCCCCCCCCAAGCAGCTGGAGGGGTAGTGGGCCTCTCCTTCCCTGAGAGAATTGACAGCCGACTGATGGCTGGTCATCTTCCTGAGCATCGTCCACAGTAGCCCTGTAGAATGTTCCAGCCGGGCCTGCCAGTTAAACAAAGAAAGGGAGATAGATAACCAGGGGAAACTAGGCTGCCATTCAAGTAATCTGAGCCTGTGGGTGCTGCTGCCAGGGTTGGACTATCCTCTGATTAAGGTCCTTTGCTAAATAATTTAAATGGTAGCAAAGTCCTTCTTGATTCCCATGCTGTTACATTTCTCCTTTTCAAGCCAACTGCGTACAGTGTGCCTGTATATGGGACCATTTTCCTCTGCCATGCAAACGTGGCCAAGCAGGAGAGCGTGGAGGGAGCTGTATTGGGGGTGGGGGGGTTGCCTGTAATGTCAGGTTTGGGTCGGGTAAAGTTAGTGTGTTCATCTTAAAAATGCATGAATTGTATTGCCTAACGTTCCAAGCCAGGGCAATACCATGCAGAGGTTAGGATGAGGAGAATCTGCAGGCTTCTGAGAACAGTTTGGTAAACAAGGAAATCGCTTTCCTTTTAATATTCTGGCATGTTGAAAAAGATGAAAGCAGAAGTTCATGCTTCCTATGCCAGTGTGGGAACTGAGTGGCTAGTTGAGAATTGAATCTTTGACCAGCAATTTACTTTAAAAAAATGTCTTTGGACATTTTAACAAATGCTGAGAATATTATGAATGCCAACTAGAATTGGCCACAGGCCTTCTTAAATGACAAATACTTACATCCACAACTTGACAGCCTGTGGCTTTGATGACTTGGTATGTTGCAAGACTGATTATGGGGAATTGAACTGAATACACTGGTTGCACCTTCTCGTTTGTAGGTCCCAGCCCAGAAGGTCTTCATTTCACTCACTGATTGCCATGTCATTGGGAAGAGTGAGCCCGACTCAGGCCTCCTGTGTCTTAATCCCAGCCCCACAGAAGCCTCAAGCTTCTGTTTTCTTCTCTTCCTCCAACGTAGAAAGGTTTCCCTCCTGATCCCTGGAAAGATTCTTGACACTGTGGGCAGCAGACAGAGGGGTAATGGAAAAGGGGATGATGTGATTACTACACAGAAATGATGTGGTTACTAAGGGCTGGAATCCACGTGTAGAATGCTGTACTGGTGGTGGGAAGATGCAGAGCTGGCCCCACTTAATTCTTCAGTGTGACACGTTGGGCTTCTTGCAAATGCCTGTGTAAGTCAGTGTGCAGAGTGGAAGGAAGGAAGGTAATTTGGCTTATTTTTTAGATTTTGCAAAAGATACTTTAAAGAATTCAAAGGGATAAGAATGAGCCCTGGGTGGAAGAGATGAGCTGCTGTGGGCAGGTTTGGGGTCACGCACGTTGAAGTGACAGAGGGGCTGGTGATTGAGCCCATCTGCTGATTGCGTTGAGCTGTCAGGTGGAAGAGCTAACAATGAATTATTTTTCTTTTGTTTCCTACTGTTGTTGGAGAGCCTTGGAAAGCTCAAAGCAACATTGCAAGCTAATCCTTTTTCCCTCTCTGTCTCTGTAGAAACTTGAAGGGTCTAAGTGCAAAGGGCAGCTTTTGATTTTTGGGGCAACCAACTGGGACTTGATTGGTCGAAAAGAAGTGCCTAAACAACAAGGTATGAAAAATGTTTTTTTAAAAACTCTAAGTAACTCATTGTTATCAGTTCTGACTCATGGCAACCCTAGAGGATAGAGTCCAACTACCCTGTGGGGTTCCCAAGGCTGTAATCTTTATAGAAGCAGGCTGCCACATCTTTCTTCCACAGAGTGGCTGGTGGGTTCTAACTGCTGACCTTAGGTTAGCAGCTGAGCACTTAACCACTGCACCACCAGGACTCCTCAAAGTCTAAGTAGCTTGCAAGTTATTGAGGACTAGGGGCTTTGCATATAGCATCAAAGGTGATTCTGGTAACCATCTGCCAGGTAGGTTATTTTCTTCTTTTAAAACAAGAAAGTGGAATTCAGAGAGGTCAAGTGACTTGCTTAGGGTTACACAGCCACTAGAGTGGTAGAGTTTGGATTGAACTCTGGCCTTGTGCAAGTCTCTTCGTTTAACAATTCAGCCTTTAAAAAAAAAATACCTTAATTCATTAAGATTAAACAGAAAAATATAAATAGAAGCCTCAAACCAGCCTCCTTGTTTTGACACCTGTTTTCATCTTCCTTCTCACGTCACTTATTGTCATTAAAATCAAAAGGCTGGCCTTGGGAAATGATACCACAATCATGTTTCTTGCAAGCTGCCAAATCATTTCAGGCACGTCATGACAGAACAAGTGGAGTGAAGGGGAGAGCAGAGGTCCTAAGAAGTAACTCGTTTCCATTCACTTTTAGAAAATAGGAATTTTTTTCTCTGGAGAATACTGGTCCTTCCAGGAGAAGGAAGCCTGGTACACTGCCACATCTTACGACATCTGGATTTCATTTGGAAGGATTCCCGGTGTCCTTTCCAGCCTTGTTTTGCCCGATGAACAAATATTTGCACACTGCTAACACCCTACTGCCTCAGAGTGGGGGCAGCAAAGAGCCTTGTGTGCCATGCATTCAGTAGGAGTTCCAGCCATGCTCTGGCCACCTGAGTTAGAAGGGGGCTGGGCTCAGGTAGCAGCTTTTCTTCCTGCTATGGAAAATGCGCAGCTTCCAGGACTAAGCCATTGGGCCAAGTCCACAGGGCAGCGAGTGCTAGTGCCCCTTCCCAGGCTGCATTGCGTTATTCCTCACTGCTGCTCTTGAGATGTGTGGCCCACCTGCGATGGAAGATGTGGGCCCAGAGGGGGAAGCTTGTTTGCTAAGAGGGCAAGTGGCAGGGCCTGGGTTAGAGGCCCTGCTCTCCGGCTTACTCCATCGCCCCCTGCGGATGTAGGATGGAGTGGTGCTACTCGGGATGACTGGCCGGGGTCTGCCTCAAGTAGGCTGACACCATCATCAGCTCAGCCTCCCATAACTTCCCCGAGGTACAGAAGGTAGGGAAGCCACCTGTGGTTGAGGAAGGGACCCTCACTTGGTAGTTGAACAATTTAACCCTAATTAGGTTTGCTTCAAGAACACTTTTTTTGTGTTTCCGGTTTCCACCTTTGCTTCCCGGATTGAGTTCCCTTTGAATGAATTTTTTTTAAACCCCTGTTTTTAAATATCCTTAGGGCCATTTGTGACCCGACCTTGCCGGTGTAGACATAAGGGGAGGGAAGGGAGGATTTGATTTGTTTTCCTACTGGTTAAAACATGACAAGAAGGAGGATTTCTCCCTGCCCATCAGTCTTGTCACATCTTTGAAGTGTGCCTTCTGTCACAGCCAGGAGAGCCCATCTGACCTCATGGGCCTGCTGCAGTGAGTCTTGTAAGATCAGTAATGGGTGTGCCTTGTTGGTTTTTAAGATAACAGTGACTCATACTCCAGCTCTGTGATTAGGATCCGGCCCCAAGAATCTGGAGGCCACAGGAACTCATGTCCACCTGCCTCCCTGAGGCACCCAGGGCTGCTGGGGTATTTAATTCAACTTAGGCTGCTCTGACAGGATTCCTTCAAAGGCTGGGAGAATCCCTGTTTCTCTACTGAGCTGGCTATATTTTTAGGCGTTGATGTAGCCACTGCCAGCAGGGAAGGACACTTTGGCAAATCATTGCGCCTCTGCCACCTGTGGGATGTGGTCCACTTAGCCAGGATAACAACAGGAAGAAAACCCCACTTGCCATCGAGTCGATTCCAACTTATAGTATCCCCTACTGGGTTTTGCAAGGCTATAAATCTTTATGGAAGTAGATTGCCCCATCTTCCTTCTGCAGAGCGGCTGGTGGGTTTGAACCTCCAACTTTCTGGCTGGCAGTCAGATGCCTTAGGCACTGTGCCACTAGCGCTTCTCACTTAGCCAGCCTAAGCCAGGTTGCATTTAGACCTTTTACCTCCATGGTGTCCTCTGTCATCCCGTGGCACTGTGCATTGGTTCAGCACGTGTGGCTAAGAGTGTTGCACGTCCTTCATGCCACAGTTTGTTCCACTCTCATGATAAACAGACCTTAGGAAATCTCCTAACAAGTTTTAGTAAAATTTTTGGAGGCTGTTGTTTTCAGTCTGATCTTTCCTTCTGGAAATTGTTGGCACCTTTTAGTAGTAAAGTGTCTTCAGGTGGAAAGACTTAGGTACATGGCTACTGTGCCATTAGACTTTTCCTGGCTGGTAAAGCCTCTTCGTACCTAGATGAGAGGAACCATGGGGGTGCGGGAGGGTGGGGGCTCACGTGGAACAGTTTCACGGCATTAGGTAACTGATGGAGAAACCATTGCCTTTCAGTCAGTTCCTGCATCCAGATCATTCTGACACAATTTGACAGCTGCTGCCTGGAAGGAAGATTGGGCAGTGTATTTCCATAGTGATAGTGCCTCAGAAACCCAAGGGGAGAAGTCGCTGTGAGTCGGATCCGACTCCACAGCAGTGAGCGAGTGAACATTTTAAAGTAGTCCCCACAGATCTGGAGATGCTCTTGTGTTTTTGTGCTTGATAACCCCAGATTGAAACAACAAGCAGAAAATACCAGTTGTTGGTCATACCTGTCCATTAACAGGATGGAGTATTTTGAGGGTGTTACTGGTTCTCCCCTCCTGCAGACCTGCTTACGTTTGAGTGATTACTGTGTGCTGGACTTCTGTGAGTGCTCGGCTGTAAAGGGAACCCACAGCCCTGGCTCTCGGGTTGCTTATAACAAGCTGTGAGGGCCAATGAGTGTATAGTCTGATAAGTCCTGTGATAGGGCACACTGAATGCAGGGACATGTAGCGGTGCAAAGAGGAAATTTTTTTGAGTTGGATGTGGGCCAGGAGGGCTTCCCAGAGGAGGAGGGAGTGTGTTCCAGCTGAGTTTTGCAGAGGAAGTAGGGGGCAGGAAAGAGCATCTTGGGAAAGTGAATGCATGGCCAAAGGCAAAAACAGCCAGAATGTTCCTTAAAAACGAAAATAGTCAAACTTTGTCTCACCTGCTTTGGTCATGTTGTCAGAAGGGACCATTCTCTGGAGAAGGATATCATGCTTGGTAAAGTAGAGGGTCAGCGAAAAAGGGGAGGACCCTCAACAAGATGCATTAACACAGTGGCTGTAAGGATGGGCTCAAGCATAGCAAGGATTGTCAGGATGACGCAGAACGGGAAAGTGTTTTCATTCTGTTGTACATAGGCTCGCTATGAGTCAAAAACAACTTGACCACACCTAGCAACAACAACATTGCTGTCAAGTCACTTCTGACTCATGGCAACCCCATGTGTTAGGGTAGAACTGTGTTCTATAGGGTTTTTCTTGGCTGTGATTTTTTACAAGCAGGTTGCAAGGGACCATGAAATAGGACGATGGGACCACTGGGAATGGATCAAACACTAGTGGTGGGGGCTGGGTAGGGACCACCAGGGGCCCCTGCAGGATGGGCCTGATACTGGCAGGGTATGTTAGTGACCACTGAAGGCTGTTCTCTGGAGGATGGGGACACTCATTCGCAGCTCAGAAAGCACATTTCTGTCTGCAGTGAGGAGTCGCACATTGGTAGGCAGGAGAGCCATTGGGAAGGTGAGGAGTGCCTGAGGATGGCATTGTGGGGTGAAGAGGGCAGGTGTAAGGGAGAGAGGAAGAGGTGCAGGTTCCAGGGTGAGTAGGTTCCTGGGTCAGCTCCTGCTTAATGGGTCACCACCCACCCTGATAGGGCTATAATACATGAAGGCAGGTAGGCTCTGCCTTTTGGACAGCTTGAGAACCAGGTCCCTGGGGCCTTTTAGTGTAGGAGGGCTCAGTAGCAGCTGGTCAGGCCCCGCCAGAGGTGGAGTGACATCATTGTGAGGATGGCCTGCCTTCAGCTCTGGGGGGCCATTCATTCTCTGGCCCCTTCGGTCTTACAGGGAACAGAGGTACAAAGGTCTCTCACGGCCTCCTGACACTGTTGCCTGAGGAAGTACCTGCCACTTATACAATGGGAGGGTGTATGTACCCTTTATGGCTGGGACTGCTTTTTGGGGTGCTTGGTACTGCTCCTTGAGTGTTTGATTTGCCTTCTTTTCTCTTTGCAGCTGCTTACCGCAATCTAGGTCAGAATTTGTGGGGGCCCCACAGATATGGATGCCTGTCAGGGGTCCGGGTGCGGACAGTGGTTTCGGGTTCATGTGCCGCCCATAGTCTCCTCATCACCACAGAAGGGAAGCTGTGGAGCTGGGGTAAGTACTTCACTGGGGCCCTGTTAATATGCAGTGGAACTAGGGGTGACCCTGATCCTGGAGCCTGCCCCTCAACAGGAGTTTTCATCTGCCCAGAAAAGAAGACTTGTGCCTTCAGAGGCAGTGCTCTTTCTTTGCAGGCTACATGGTCTCCTCCCAGTTCCCACCTCATCTCTTCTACACCATATGGATAAGTTGTCTCCCAGCACATGTTGTTGTTAGTTGCCATCGAGTTGTTTCCGACTCATGGTGACCTTATGTACAAAAGAACAAAACACTGCCTGGCCCTATGCCAGCCTCACGGTCCCTGCTATACCCGAGCCCATCGTTGCAGCCACTGTGTCTATCCATTTTGTTGAGGGCCTTCCCCTTTTTCGTTGACCCTCCACTTTACCACACATCATAACCTTCTCCAGAAAATGGTCCCTTCTGACATGACCAAAGTAGGTCAGACGAAGTCTGGCCATTCTCGCTTCCAAGGAGCATTTCCTGCTGCATTTCTTCCAGGACAGGGAGCCCCTAATTCTATGACTACTCCTCTTCAAGCAGCCGTTTACTGGACATTCAACTGCATCTCGATATTCCTTGTACTGAGGAGATTAGCATTGAATTCTGTTGAGGCATGCTGTCCCTCCGACAGACGGTCCCCTTCTTGCTTCCTGACACAGTGTGGCTTAAGACCTCTGTTCTTGCCACTTTAAATGCTGTTGGATTTTAGAACCGCCGCAGCATCTCATAAGCCATACTTGAAACTCTGTCTGTCTGCATGTAATCCTGTCTGTTACTGAGAGTCATGTGGGTTTGTGGGTCTTGTAGCTTATTGCCTATTTTGTCTGTTTCTTGTTTGCCCAGATATTTTAAGAGTTGATTTGCTTTCTCTTCTGCTGTGTTCCTCGCCTGGGTACTTGGGATGGTTTCCTATCCTTGCCTAGTAGCCTTCTTTCCATTTCAGAGTTCTGTGCGGAGGGCTTTCACGTTACTGCCTGTTTCCTCTTCCACATTGTTAATACAGGTATTGACTAAGGCTCAATTTGTCCCCAGGCCCTTCTGCTAGTTTCTGGACCCTTCTTCCAGCTGGTATGTTGGCTCCTGTCCCCGCCCTTTGTCTCTGGTCCTTTGGCTAGCTTCTAGTCCATATGACTGCATTTTTATTTCAGTCTGTTTGAACTGTTTTTGCGATTTTATGAGCTGCTGTACCGAAGTCCAAATATATTAACATCTGTTGTCTTCCCTGCACTCTGCTAATTTTGTAATTCTGTTGGAAAAAAAAGCTAACAAGTTTGGCCCAAATTTCTACTTTGTACTCTCTTGATGACATGCTGACATGGCCACAGTTTTTGTTTTCTCTGGGTTGGCCTGGCGGCAAGCCTCTCCTCCTCAAAACTCCCCTCCCGCGTTAGTGTTTCCAGCATCATGCACCGCACTTTGTCAGAGTTCCCAAACTTCAAAGACCTGATGTCTCATCTCTTCACTGGATTTCACTTATCCAGGTTTCCAGAAATGCCCTGTGTGCTGACCCTGTGGGGCAGAGGACGCTTCTGAAGGCTGTATCTCTAACCTGCCCCCAGAGCAGATGTGTGTCCCTGTGAGCAGACTGAGGTGATGCAGGTGCTGATGTGCCAGCAAGGATGTCACAAGCCCAGTGTTAGTCACTTGAAAAGGGAGAGGGCACTGTGCAGTGTCCGTCCACACCAGTGCTTCTGGAGAGTAGCTGGCACATCCCCCACGTGGGGTCTGAGCCTGGGGGCAGACAGCACCTGGTGCTTGTTCTCTGTCAGAGTGCCGGGCAGAGTGAGTGTGGCAGCTCCATTAGATCTGGTGTCTGCCCTTCCTGCCAGGAGCCAGTTCTGGCATGGAAGCCAACTTTCCTTTGGTTGAAGTGTTTGTCTCAGGATGGTTTTCCTCCTCTTAGCAGTTCCTCAGGTGGTCGGACACTGTTCACTTCCTTCTTGGTTTCTCCAGAATGGTTGGTGATCACCTCTGTGGCTCTGCTCTCAATGTTGCTCGTGCCCTAAAGGTGAAAAGGGCTCTGTTGGGGATGTCTGTGGTGCTCCCTGCAGAATTCCCCTGCTGCTTGGTCCTGTGAAACCTCTTGCAGGTCTCCCAGAATGTTGGGTTACAGTCCGGGTCCACTGTTGACTGGAGGATTTGGGCGTGACCCATTGCATTGTTTTATTTTGGAACTGTTATAGCCTATGTTGAAAACTAGGTGAGGTATAGGGACTCCTGGCCTTCCCTTTCACCCCCACCCAATGTCCCGTGTCTGTTTTGGAACTGAAGAGATTTTCCTGAGGGCCCATGCATTTGCCGAGGGCTCAGGACAGGAAGTGCTTTCCTCAGACCTTCCCTTGAATCCCGTGTCCGGAGCAGCTCCAGGGATGGAGGTTGGGTACCCTGTTGGCAGTGCCTTGCAGGGACTTATGCTCAGAGCGGGCCTGTACTTTATCCGTCAGCTGGTTTCCTGTTGTAAAGGGCCCTGTGAGTGATGGTCTGTAGGTGGTGGGGCTAGTACTGTTCTGTGGGCACCCTTTCCAGGGCAGAGACGGGAAGAGAGATGACAGTAAGAGCGCAGTGGCCCATGGTAGATGCCCAGAGCACTGAGGTAATTAAACTCTTTTGAGGCAGGTGTCAAAGACAGTTACTGTCTGAAAATGCATCCCGAGTGAAGGGAATGAGGGAGTTGTCTAGCAGAAACTATGAGAAGTGAGAAGCTGTATGTTTCCATGGGTGCTCCTGCTTGTGTGTGACGTCATGCCAAACAGCACTTCTCCCATTTGCCTGGTAGCATAGAAACGCAGGAAGTGCACACTTGGGCTGGAGTGTGTGTGTGTGTGTCTGTTTGTCTGTCTGTCTGTCTCCCTCCCTCCCAGCTGCTGCCCCAGAAAAGTGGTGGAGGTGAAGGAGGTGGCTACTGCTGGCAGGCTGCCTGAGGAGATGGTTTCCAGGGACAGCACCATGTCTGTTACCCCATCACCCGACCGGACAGGCCTCGAGAGGCTGGCCACTTATTGAGAAGCCAGAGCTTTCTTTCACCTAGAATCTTAGTGGGCGGGTTTGGAGGGCACCTTCTAGAAGACACATTTGTCTCCCATCTGAGAGAGCGTGTGTCCCTGGGATGCTGCTCCAGCCTCTATATTCCCTGCCTTTATTTGGTTTTGTATATGACAGGTCGAAACGAGAAGGGGCAGCTGGGACATGGTGACACCAAGAGAGTGGAAGCCCCCAAACTCATTGAGGGTCTCAGCCATGAAGTGATTGTGTTGGCAGCATGTGGGCGGAACCACACCCTGGCTTTAACAGGTATGCAGGTAATCACCTGGGCTCCTTCTGAATTTGGCAAGAGACCCAAAGGTTTACCTGGGGGAGGAGGGAGTCACCCCATGGCTTGGTCAAGATTGAAAAGCTGCCCCAGAGAGCCTGGTGAGTGGGTGGCTTCTTGAGGGTATTGAGAGTATCCATCCCCTTTGAGCACAGGACGTCCCTGTTAGGACTTCTGTGCACCCAGTCTCTGGTGAAAAATGGTTTTGCTCTAAAGTGGTCATCTAGTCCACCACCATTTGGAACACTGTCTCACTGCCATTGTGCCTGGCATGTAAGCTGTGCTTTTCAGTGTTTTGATGCCTTTGATTCTAAATCTGATTCAAAACATTGAGCCTTGTAGTCCCTTTTTTAATGTTGCTCTTTCTTTCCAGAAACAGGCTCCGTGTTTGCATTTGGAGAGAACAAGATGGGGCAGCTGGGCCTGGGCAATCAGACAGATGCTGTTCCCAGCCCGGCACAGGTAGCGCTACTCTCCTCTGGTGCATGCTTGGTGACTTTGTTTCTCTTAGCCTTTGTGTTTGGTTTTCAGAGGTGGGATTGTGTGTTTCTGTCCATCCTTTGAGTTCGTTGACCCCTTGTAAAAACAGGCTCCAGTGGTTTGAGTCAAACTTAACACGCTGCAGTGTTTAGCATAGGTTTAGTTTGTGGTCACAGTTGAAAAACATCCTGAAACCAATTTTCCTTTGCAATTTGAAAAATTTGAGTAGAGAGGCCTTGCTTTAAGCCTGTGCAAGTCCTTATTTTTCCAAAGAAAATGGAAAGTGTTCATGGATATGATTGGTCTTTACCTGCAAATACTGTGAGTTTTGATCTTGCGTAACATTGTATATTCGAATAAAATAACATCGGGCATTTTGCTTAGAGCATGAATAGAAGCTGCGTAGACTTGTTCCTAAGACACTTGGATTAGTCATTTGGAAGAATGGGATTTATACATAATGAACTGCAAATAGAAGGCAGCAGAACGCTAAGGGTCTGATTAGTGGTTCAGATGCTGAGGTGGGGGACTTGGATTTTTTGGTCTTAAATGAGACACAGTGGCCAAGCTTATCGGCAGTTTGAAGGGTTTTTGAGGTGTTTATGGTTTTTTTTTTTCCCCTAACCATTTGTTCTGACATGGAACGGAACAGTTTCCAGAGTAATAAACAAGGGCTGAGGGGACATGGCCTTTGAGTCTTGGGTCTCTGTCTCTGATTTCTGGTGCGGACGTCCAGCAGGGCTGTTACTCTGGGTCCCTTGGTGTCTTGTCCCCTGCTTCCCAGGCTGATGAGTTTGCAATATAGCACATTTTCTCAGTACTTTCTTAGATTTGTTTCCCAATCCTGTGTTAAATTATTCAGGGCCTAATAATTAGCTCCCTAATTTCGAACAATTTTATTTCTTGCTCACACCTTCAATTAGACTAATTAGTTGAGTATCTCTACAGTAGTAAAGAGAATGTGAAACAGTTAATTTTACTGGCTGGCAATATTGCTTGCAAGAGCTTTTTTTTTCTTTTTCAAGCCAGGGGGATGACATTGGATCCCAGTGGCTAAAGTGGGGTTTGGGGGTAGGTGTTCGTCAGTTGCGTAGATGACCGGTCAGTTGAGTGAGCATTCTCCAAGCACTAGTGATATGCCAGGTGCAGCATTGGGCAGTTTGAGGGAAACAGACGGGCTTGGATTCACCGTCTTTGAACTGGACTCTGTACTGGGAAGGCGAAGGGGTCATAGGATTGTTTCTTCATGTATTTTCTAAGCTTTATATGGTAGAAGTGCCCTCAGCTTTTGCCTTAAGAATTGTTCAGTCCATTCCATTTCCATTTAACCTTTAGTAATTGTTTTCATACCAACCTGCAGAGTGGAGACATTTTATCAAGCTTTTTTTTTTTTTTTTTAAAGTCTGAAAGTCTACTATCTTGTCTTTTCAGATAATGTACAATGGCCAGCCAATTACCAAAATGGCCTGTGGGGCCGAATTCAGCATGATAATGGACTGCAAAGGAAACCTCTATTCCTTTGGGTGCCCTGAATATGGTCAGCTGGGTATGGACGTCTCTTTTTTAAAAGCTCTGTAATCTACTGTATTTGGAACCAGAAATCAGTGTGAGGCTGCACACACGTGTTAGAAATGTGGGTAATTGATCTCAGATAATAGCTTTCATCCATTAAGTGGATCTCACGTTAGTGGAACAGCATGTTGTATGCATGGGATTATAGAGTATTACAATGACTTGCCTCAGTGAAAAACTCAGGACTGGGGTTGGACAAAGGATTCTTTTTTTCTCATGTGTGAATTCATTTGTATGAAAGGATTTCAAAGTTGGGTTTAGGGGAAAAAGGAAAAACGAAGACATATTCATTCAGTTACACATTTAAAGATTTGCCTTTATTGTAAGTGAGGAAATCTGGCTGGTTATTTCAGGTGCATGTGTAAGGAACGTGCTATAGGTAAAAGTGACTGGATCCCTGTCGTTTTTTATCCCTAGACAGGGTGTACACATGCCGTAACATTTACTTGTATCTCATTGAGTAGAAAAGAAAAACTCAGAAACCTGTTCTCAGTCAGGAGGAAATGTCTTCTGATCCTAATTTTGCAAGGTCTCCATTTTCTTTTCCCATCTGACATTGAAGTGTTTTTTTTTTCCCCCCTTCCCTGTTTCTGGCATCCTCCTACCACCCTGGCCCTTTCCTTGGAGGACTCTGAGTAGGAGGTGAGGAGTGGGCGCCCTCTGCTGGCTCCTTAGCTGTATCCACTTGCCATTTCAATGGCAGCCCCCGTTTATCTGGGTTGCTGGGTCTCGACGTCATTAAAAGCAGACAGATGGAAAACAGTATAAATAGAATGAGGAACGTCTCACTGGCCTTAGCCTTAGGGAACAGTGACTTTGTGAAACTAAATATACCGAAGTCAGAAGCAAACAAGAAAGAGCAGCCCCTTACACACATTCAGTGTTGGTTGCTAGGGAGTTGTCAGAGACTCTTAGAGAAACTGTTTCCATGGACACAGGCACTCCTGCTGTACCCAACCTTGGGCAATACCGGAAGTGCGTTTGTGGGCTACTTCCTGAAACGGGTAGCTTCCCTGCTGCCTGTGGCTTCCCCAGATTTTCACAGCAAGGTGATTTTCTTTTAGGAAAAATGAAATGACCTTGGTGCTAATAATGGCTAACATTTATAGAGCAGTTCCTGTGTGTGGCAGTCACCATTGTAGCACTTTACACAGATTCTCATTTGCTCATTCAGACTCATTTAAAGAAATTGACTTGATTCGTATTTATGGATCAGTAATTTTTAATTTGCCAACTGAGTCTACAAGCTTATGAGTTGGAATCAGCTTGATGGCAATGGATTTGGTTTATAGTAAAAAGCATGTGCACATCAGGAAATGGGGGCTGGGTTGCTCTCATGCACAAACACTTTTAAGTGAGTCATATGATTTTTCAATCACATAGCATAGTGGCTAAGGCACTTGACTGCTAACCAGAAGGCTGGTGGTTTAAATCCACCAGCCACTCCTCGGAAGAAAGATGGGGCAATCTACTTCCGTAGTGATACTGCCTCGGAAACCCAAGGAGGGGTTGCTATGAGTCGGGTCTGACTCAATGGCACATAACAACAACAACAACAACAATCCCTTTTAGAGTTAGAACATAACTGTGGCCTGGAAACATGTATTGCCAGCACCAGCCAAACCCAGCCCGCCCATCCCCAGTGTGTTAACTGGGTCAGGTAGGGTAGAGGTCAGGCGCTGCCTCTGAATTGCATTTTAGGAAGCTGCCACCTCTTGGAGGAGGGAAGCAGCCTTGGTCCCAGTTTCCTGGCGGAATCCTGCCACGTCCTTTGGTGAAAGGTGTGGCTCCTCTGAAAGAAGTCAGAGGCCAAAATAGTTCTGAAATGCCCTTGCCCCTGTCCTTTTGGAATTGTCTGTCTGGTTTAGTACCCATCATTTCTTAATCACATAGTAGGGTCTCAATAAGTAATAGTGACTGCTTTACTAAGACCTTGCCCAGGAAAATGTAAATGTTTAAAAATGTAAGTATGTGCATGAGAGCAACCCAGCCCCCATGTCCTGATGTGCACATGCTTTTTACTATAAACCAAACCCATTGCCATCAAGTTGATTCCAACTCACAGTGACCCTGTAGAATAGAACTGCCCCACAGGGTTTCCAAGGCTGTAAATCTTTGCAGAAGCAGACTGCTTCATTTTTCTCCCATGGAGCAGCTGGTAGGTTCGAACTGCTGACCTTTTCATTAGCAGCTGAATGCTTTGACCCCGACGCCATCAGAACAGAGCTCTTTTTCACTATAACTCACTGCCGGTGAGTCAGATCTGACTCACGGCAACCCCTCCTTGGGCTTCTGAGGCAGTATCACTTTGGAAGTAGATTGCCCAATCTTCCTTCCGAGGAGTGGCTGGTGAATTTGAACCACCAGCCTTCTGGTTAGCAGTCAGATGCCTTAGGCACTATACCACCAGAGCTCCCTTTTTCACTATGTTGTTGTTATGTGCTGTGGAGTTGGCCCCGACTCATAGCAACCCCTTCTTGGGTTGCTGAGGCAATACCACTTTGGAAGTAGATGCCCAACCTTCCTTCCGAGGAGTGGCTGGTGGGTTTGAACTGCCAGCCTTCTGGTTAGCAGTCAAGTGCCTTAGGCACTACGCTACCAGAGCTCCTCTTTTTCACTGTAGGCTCTTTAAATTCAATATAGCCTTGAGAAGATGAGGAGTCCGTTAGCTGGGACCCTGGGACTCTTAAGTTGATGGGCACAATCGAAAGAGACTATGCCTACAGTGGAGAATTGGTGTGTCACAATATGATAGGAACTGCTTATGAACATGTGTTAGGAAACACCACCCTGTAAACAAACCCAATAACTTTATTGTGCTTATTTTGATTGTGATTCCAAGCTGTTTAACTAGCATGAAATTCACACACATGGTGCCTCTGAAAGGTGGTTCTGTACATGAGTAAACTGCAGGGCAATTAGCCAAAAGCTGAGGGCTGACTGAAAAACTGCAGGTGACGTGATCATGCTTTGGCTAGCTAAGTTGTAACTAACGGGAACAGTAGCAGTTCAAGACTTCCATACGGCCCTGTGTATGTGGTGGCGCTAGTTTGCAGAAGTATCAGTGTTCTCAGGACTGTCAGCTGGCTCCTCCTCAACAGTGTGCTCAGTTGGCATCCTGGTTATCTTGTGTTGTGCCAATTGCAGTGTGTGAATTCCAGGTTGTAACAACTCAGGGTAAGATATGTGTAGATTATTTGTAATTTCATGAAAGCAGAAGTCTAGGATTGTCTGTACTTTTCTGTCCATCCCTGGACCATACACCATCCCTGGACCATACAGGGACTCCTTGAGGTGTGCTGTGTCCGTGTGCACCCCCTGCTCCCCAAGATCATATTTTATAGACCATCTCTTTGGCTCAGTAGCTTCCAAACAATTTTGACAGCAACCCACAGTGTATTTTACATTGCAACCCAATCTGAAGTAGAAATACATAAGAAGAATTTTTAGAAAATAATGCCATTGTTATGTACTATGTGTTTTTTTTTTCTTTTGTTCTATTGTATGCATTTTTAAAAAAAATACTGCTCTTAACCCACAAAATCAAGTTCATGACCCACCAGTTGGGTCAGGCCTCAGATCAGAAAGCACCGCCTTCATTGATCGGGGCAGATGCTTTGGACCTGCTCTACTTTCTGGGCATCTGAGCCTGCCTGTGGCAGGTAATGGGCATGGCGTTGGTCTCTGGGGCTTATAATCCCCTGCCTCTGACTGCTGCTGCCTCTGGTCTCCACAGGACACAACTCAGATGGGAAGTTCATTGCCCGGGCGCAACGGATAGAGTACGACTGCGAGCTGGTGCCCCGACGAGTGGCCATTTTCATTGAGAAGACAAAAGATGGGCAGATTCTGCCAGTCCCAAACGTGGTGGTGCGAGATGTAGCCTGTGGTGCTAACCACACGGTAATAGACCACATGGTTTCTCTCTGTACTTTCTGAGAGGCTCATCAGTGTAGGGGGTCATTTAAGCCCAGGGGCCCTGACGGTGGGGATTGTGCCTTCCGCGGGGGGCTTCCTACCATTCATATGGCTACCAGCCACCATCGAGTACACATGCTTCCTGCCATAATACCCAGGACTCAGTTCAGAGCCCTTGGGTTGTCTCTCACATGTGTCTCTGTTTTGCCATTTAAAAAAAAAAATTCCACATTCCCTTATCACAACTCATGTTAATTGCTATGCCTGTGTACCTTTTATGAACATACTCAAATGTAGGCACATCCTCTCCCTCCAGGCTGGTAGCATACAGTAGCTTGTTTCTGCTTTTGGCTTTTGTCATTTAATAACATCATGAACATCTTCCCTGCTTGATTGACAGACTGTATGCTGTGGGCGTTGAACGGATTTTATTTTGTTCGGTGTCTTTTGTTAAAGGATACTTTAGATAAACTGCAGTAAAGATTTGTGTGCCTTTGTGTCTTGGGTCACTTCTGAGAGTGCATTTGCCTGAGAACGCCTGTGAGTGACACTTGCTCCCTTCCTGGGGGAAGAGTGCTGGGCTGGGGCCAGAGACCTGTAGGTGTTCCTGTCTCTGCCCTACCTGCTGCACGGCTTCGGGTGTGACTCTCTGGAAGCTTCTTCCCCAGCAAAGATCTCTCTGGTTCTGTTTTGTTCCGTGTAGATGGGAACTAAAGTTAGATTTTGTTTCAGCTTCCTAAAATCAAACTCTTTTTAATAGAGTGCATTCACAACACTTAAACATGAAATGTCACAGCTTCTGTGAAGAAGGTAAGTTTTAAATTGTTGATGTGTATGTGTGCCAACTTGATCATTGACCAGATGGAGGTGAACTGTGTATGTGTGACAGGGGAGGTCAAAAGAAAAGTCCCAGACAGGCAGGTTTTTTCCTCCATGTCTTGCAGTTCCATCAATATTGTAACACGGAATATGAAGCATTGCCCTCCTGTGTAGAGACACAGCCCTCTGGTCTTAAGATTTGTGGCTTAAAAAAACAGTTTACAATAAGATTGAAAAGTAGAGTTCCTGGCAGAGAAATTGGCAAGCTGGCCAAGGGAATGTGTCATTTTGCTACACCTGTTCCTGTTACAGCCACCCCCATTGGAGGCAGGTGTGGATTATTTTTAATGTTCCTGCTCCTTTGCTGGGTTCGCTGTAACACCAGTTCTCTGGCACAGAAGTTACGGTCCATCTTGTCACCGTCCTGCTGGCCAGGCTCGTTTGTTCCAATCCTGTGTTTTCTCTCTCCCTATAGCTGGTTCTGGACTCTCAGAAGCGTGTTTTCTCCTGGGGCTTTGGTGGCTATGGCCGGCTGGGCCATGCGGAGCAGAAGGATGAGATGGTCCCTCGCCTGGTGAAGCTGTTCGACTTCCCCGGTCGTGGGGCATCCCAGATCTATGCTGGTTACACCTGCTCCTTTGCCGTTAGTGAAGTGGGTTAGTGATCAATCTCCTGCCCTGTTTGTGCCAAGCATGGGATGAAGGGGTCCAGACCAGGCCTTGGTTTTACTTCCCTGGGAGCGCAGAGCCCCAGTAGGGAAGCTTGTAGGTATTCTCCTGGCCCAAGACCGTGAGCCCTACTCTGATTTCCTTGTTGGTGTTGCTTTAACTAGAGTGCTCAGGTGTGGTGCAGTGGTCCTGACACCCTGATTAGGCTTCCGCTGTGTCTGGCATCTGGTCATGGTGGGCACGTGTTTTGTTTTCTCCAGGTGGTCTGTTTTTCTGGGGGGCTACCAACACCTCGCGTGAGTCAACCATGTACCCGAAAGCAGTACAGGACCTCTGTGGCTGGAAGATCAGGAGCCTGGCTTGTGGGTATGTGCAGCTGTCTCCTGGTCCTCTGCCCTCGTCGGATGTGTCAGGCACACTTAGGAGGGCCTTTTCCCTTGAGAGGGGCTGGAACCATCGTCCCTTACAGGAGACGGAAGAGGATGACAGGGCACCAGGCACTGAATCCTGGAGGAGGAGGCTGTGCTTGGGGTAGCAGGTGGCTCAACTCATTGTCTTCAAGGAAAGAAAGTCATTTGGGAAGAGTTTCTCCTTTGAAGGCTTGTTGTGTTCTGCTCATGCAGGTTCAGAATTCTCTGTAATTGGAAATGTAGTGGGGTTTTAGTTACTCTAATCTTCTGGCAAGAAGGATACATCTGTGAGTCAATGAGTTTTGACTTATTTTAAGGACACCCATTATCTTGCACTTCTTGGTGGAGAGTTTGATAGTATTAATCTACTGCTGTTGGGGGGTGGTCAGTGTGACTAGAATCTGTTGAAATCTAGCCCCACTGGAATTGTGATACCTCACCTCCTCTGGAATGACCTTTTCATTCAGATCTGGCCTACTTTTTTTTCCCAGTTTGTTCATCCAAAGATGATCTTCCACTGAGAGCCCTCTGACTCCATCTCCCGGTCCTGTGGCCCTTTGGTTTCCAGTCCTGTCTAAGGGCTCTTCTGTTTTTATGGGACAGTCGTTACGGTTCAGGGAAAACCTGCTAGTCTATTAGTTCTGTTCTCTCTTTGAAAATAAGTACATTGTGGAGTTTGTAAAGGGTGTACTTGATTTTAAAAGCCAATTACTCACCCACACTCTTGAGCAGGTAACTGTCAGGAGGCGTCCGTGGAGTCTGGGTGAGACCTAGGGCTTGAGGGTACTGAGCATGGTGGTAACAGTGTCTCTATCGACTTTTCAGGAAGAGCAGCATCATTGTGGCTGCTGATGAGAGCACCATCAGCTGGGGCCCGTCGCCAACCTTCGGGGAACTGGTGAGTGGGCACCCGAGTGGGGAAAGGGCCAGAATCCTGCCTGGGTGGCTCTGGGCCTGCTGGGAGGGAGTGCAGAAGGAAAAAAAATGGGTGTCCCGGTTGGCCTTGTTGCATTAAGTGTACAGTGTTCCAGAGCATCAGGTTATATCAGCCATTAAAGAAAACGAAAGTCATTTCTGCCCAGTTTTCTTTTTATTTTTTGGCTAATTTATTGTGTTTTTGGGGAAAGTCTGCGTAGCAAGTTAAATTCCTGCTTGACAGTTGCCGTGGAATTTCATCAGTGGCATTAATTACATTTTTCACATTGTGTCCACATTCTCTCTGTTCTGGTGGTTTTATTTCCAGGGCTCTAGTTTCCCTGCTCCTTTATTGTCTCAGCTTTGCTTTGGATTAAATACTGACCTTTTGGGACTCCTACAGATGGTTTTTTAATAAAGCACCAGTCTTATAGGTAATAACCTGTATTTTGTGTGTCATTCTGCTTTCCTGCTAATAGATGATCTCGGGATCGTTTTGGTTCCAGGTTTAAAGAGCGTCTTGGGGCAGTGGTCTCAGGGAAGTAGTCTCGGGGAGTCCTCTTCTCTCCAGTGGTCTAGTTACAGTTAGCCTGGACTTCAAGAATAAGACTTTTGTTCTGTACTTTTCTCCCATCCTAACTGGGTCATCTGTTTTGACCCTGGTCAGATTGGTCAGTGGTGGCAGCCAGGCACCATTTAGTTCTTCTGATCTCAGGTTAGTTGAGGATGTGGCTTGTATAGGTACCAGGCTTATAGGCTTGTTTCTTTGAAATTTTGGTTACCTCCTTACTCTTGTGTTCCTGATGATTAGTGGCCAGTCATCATATCCAAGATGGCCATTCACAATCTTGTAAGATCTCAGACACCACCAGGATGCAGAACGTGGACTTGTGAGCTATCATGCCAGTTGTCTGAGCTGTCCCATGAGACTGTGGTCCTAAGCTTTCAAACCTAATCTGCCCATGTTTGAAACATGGAGATGGGGATGATTCAGGTCCAGTTACCATGCATTTTGGGTTGCAGTCGTGGTGCTGTGATGCTGGGAGAGGAGAACGGTGTATCTTTTAAACCCTGGGGCTACTGGGTGGTGATGTAGCTTCTGAGGTCTCCCTGTCGGCAGCATGAGGCCATTGTGTGGCTGGGCACCACTGAGCAGGGTGGTGTTTGTCAACTGCTTAGATGACTTGGGGACCTCAGTTTCCCTAAATTGGGTTTGTCTGTGTTCTCTGATTTTAGTCTCAGTGACTTGAGTGATGAGGTCGGAAGCAGACCCTGAGTTTCTCATACCAACTTGGCCTCCACCAACCAAATACTTTTGATTAAGGTTCTGAATATGGGTAGTCCCTGACCTATGACATCCTCAAGTTACAAGGAACTACACTTAAGACCATTTTTTTCTGCACACTTTATTGTTAGCAATAGGAGCTCTGGTGGCACAGTGGGTAAGGCATTTGGCTGCTAACCAGAAGGTGGCAGTTCAAACCCACCAGCTATTCTACAGGAGGAAGATGCATAATGATTTACAGCCTTGGAAACCCAGTGGGAGTTTTTGAGTCAGAATTGACTCGATAGCAGTGGGTTCGATTTTGGTTTTATTGTTATATGCACTAGAACAGTGTTTTACAGTGTGTAATTTGCTAACGGCATCATTCTCTTCCCAAGCCCCAAAGACAAAGATCAGATTTATAAAGATACTGATAATAAAAGACAGTGATAATGAATGCGTTCTAAGAAAAAAATGAGGTTATTTGGCTTGAATCAGAACCAATTTACAATGTCAAAATGGAACCCAGTCGTAAGTTGGTAACTTCTTGTTAGGTGCTGTCAAGTCAGCTCCAACTCGTAGTGACCCTACGTACAACAGAATAAAACAATACCCGGTTATTTGCCATCCTAACAATCCTTGTTACACTGAGGCCGTTGTTGCAGCCATTGTGTCAGTTCATCTTTTTTTAAGGCTCTTCCCCTTTTCTGCTGACCCTCCGCTTCCCAAGCGTGATATCCTTCTCCAGGGAATGGTCCCTTCAGACCTGACTAAAGTAGGTGAGACAGTCTGGCCATTCTTGCTTCCAAGGAGCATTCCAGCTGCACTTCAGAACAGATTGTTAGTTCTTCTGGCGGTCCACGGTACTTTCAGTTTTCTTTGCCAACACCACAACTCAGAAGCATCAACTCTTCCTTCTGTTTGCCTTATTCATTGTCCAGTTCTTTTATGCATTTTGAAAATACCATGGCTTGGGTTAGGCACACCTTAGTTTTCAAAGAGACACCTTTGTTCTTCTGCGCTTTAAAGAGGTCTTTTGCAGCAGATTTGCGCAGTGCAATATGTCATCTGATTTCTTCACTACTGCTTCCATTGATGTTGATTATGGGTCCAAGTGATAGAAATCTTTGACAACTTCAATCTTTTCTCCATTTATCATGATGCTGCTTATTGGTCCAGTTGTGAGAATTTTCATTTTCTGTATGTGTTGAGGTATAATTCATACTTCATACTGTAGTCTTTAATCTTCACCTGTAAGTGTTTTAAGTCATCTTCACTTTGCATAAGCAAGGTTGTGTCTACCTCTACCTAAATTGGATAGTTCTTAATTAAAAAGAGGCTCAATGCAGCTCAGCTGTGGGGTTCACCCTGCTGGTCTGCAGCTCAGCTCTTGGTAGTTTATGTTCAGTTAATAAATTTATCTTTTTATTTCTTGCTGGAAACGTGGTCAGTTTTCCTCCCCGCCCCCCCACCTTTCCTCACTGTAGGAACTGATTGGGGCTGATAGAGAGGTGGGAAGGAAGGTCTTTCTCACTTTCTGAGCCATCTCTGGCACTGAGGCTGAACATGCCTTTTCCTTGGTGCTCTGCACACACTTTGAGTCTGGCGTCTTCAGAGAATGCCCAGTGCAGTGGACATGCAGTTGTCCCCTTCTGAGGAGGCTCCATTTGAAACTGAAGTAATCTGAGATGAACCTGTCAGTAAATACGGATTTCTCTTAAGAGAAAGAAAGATTTTTTTGTGGGTTTGTCAGAACTAGACTTTAATCTTCTAAGTATGCATTTTGAAACAAAAAGGGACTAAGAGGGAGACATTAGAGAAGTAGATCAGTGGTGGGAGATGGCATGGGTGCCTTGAAGGAACTACACATTCTGTAATGTGTGAGGTGGGGTCTGGTGGAAGATGGGCTGGAGAAATGGACTGACCTGTGTGGAGAAGAAGGTCTCACCTGCCCTGTAGGCTGTCTGTCTCAGCTGAGCTGATGGCTCTGTGGTCCTTTTAGTTGCCTTAGCATGTGACTTTTCCTCAGCAGTGTATGACTAGTCCCTTCGCTCTCTTGTTGGGAGACTCTTCATCTTGGAATCATAACTGTACGTAGCTTTTCCTTTCACTTGTAGGAATAAACATGAAGATTTGGGTAAGTTATTTGGTCCTGCAGACCCCAGAGGCATTGTGGGTTTATGGAAGACCTTAATTGACATGAAGGGCTGCAATTGACATTTTGTTCTGCTTGTCATGTAGGGTCTTGAGTCATGCTTCATAAGTAACATTCCCCAAAAGCTATCTATTAACCCACAACCTCCAGGGGACATCTTGGTTCTCTTTGTGTTTAAGAATTGTCAGCTGTTGGCAGCAGCCTTTGTGGATGAGTGTTGGGGTAGTAGCCACAGGGCCCTCATGTCTGAACGGCCGGGCTTGGTGGACTCTCAGAGGGAGCAGAAGGCATTGCTCTGACTCCTTAGAAACTCCTCTTGAGTTTCTTGCTTGGAAACTTGGCCATTACTTCCTTAGACCCTGCCAGATTGACCCCCGTTTTTGCTCACATCATCCTGTTTGCTTTGCCAGGGTTATGGAGATCACAAGCCTAAGTCTTCCACCGCAGCCCAAGAGGTGAAGACGCTGGACGGCATTTTCACAGAGCAGGTAAGCATGGACCTCTGTGCCCAGGACAAGAAGAGGCGTGGGCAGCAGAGGTGAAACGCTACCCCTAGAGAAATAAAAATCATGTCTGATAGCACCTTCCTTTGCTTGCCTCTGGTCCTTTACAGCCCATTTGAGTCTAGTCTGCTTTCCTCGACTGGCTGTCCTTCTGCCTTTCACTAGAGTTTTCTTGGGGCAACAGCTATCACCAGAAGAAAGAGAGGGCAGAGGTTGCTGGCCACGTGTGGCAACTGCTCTTGCCTCAGTGCTGTGTAGAGCAGGCTCCCTCCCTTTACTTGGATGCATGCGGTTAGGCCACGAGGCAGATGGTGGGGTGAAGCCCTGCTGGTGTCACTCAGGCCACCATCCCCTCTGCTCACAGAGCAGCAGGCACTTCTCACAGGTGGGAGTGATCCATGCCATTGTGCCTGAGGGATGGATGGATCACTCGGTTAGATCACTGTGTTCTCACCAGTTCCTGCCGACAGATGGCGTTGAGAGGCCCAGCTCAGGAGCTTCCTTCCAGCTAGGCAGCCTGGGTCAGTCTGGTTGGCAGAAGTTAGGATGTGATTCTATCGCAAATGAGCTGTCTTCAGCGAAGAGCTTTCATGCTGCTCAGGAGTTCTCCGTTTCTCTCTATTGACCCAGTTTTCCAGCCAGCTTGCTCCTGGCCTGTGTCCTATCTGCCTGTGCTTGTCTGTCCCTAACTGGACAGTGGGCTGATGGCACACCAGAAGGCCCCTCCCACACTCAGCCCTGCTCTGTTCTCTCAGGTCGCCATGGGCTACTCGCACTCCTTGGTGATAGCGAGAGATGAAGGTGAAACAGAGAAGGAGAAGATCAAGAAACTGCCAGAGTATAACCCCCGAACCCTCTGATGCTCCTGGAGTCTCCTTCAACTTCACACCTCTCGCGGCAGCTGTCATTCCACGTGCACTGGGACGGGAAGTCGGATGAGGGATTTAGAAAAGCAGAAGTCGATTGAAGGTGCATCTTTGTTAAACTCCCTGAGGTTCCGTTTTATAAGCAATTCAACGTCAACTACCTTTTTTCTGTATGCTTTCCAAAGTGGTTTTTTTTTTTTTTCTCTTGATGTTTAATTAAAATATTTGCTCATAGTTGACTCACCATTCCTACGAAACAGGCAAAAACTTTGAGCAATCTAGTTTTTTTGTTGTTGGGCTTTTTTTTTTTTTTTTTTTTTTATGTTTTTCTCTTTTTCTTCTAAATACACTTCCTGAAAGGTCCCTTCCCAGGTGTATTTAGCATTGTGATCAGAAGGGGTGCTACGCAGGAGGAACAACCATGTACTCAGAAAAAACAGCCCCTGGCGGGAACTGACAGCACCGGCAAAGGTGGGACGGGCAGTGAAATCTGTCCCAGGTTGCGCCTGTGTGCTCAGGAAGCACCCGGGGCGCTTCTTCCCCACTTCCCTTGTCGACCGCTGGAGGCCGTTGCTGGTTCTCTTTCTCCCCTTGGCTACTGGAAAGCCACAGTCTTTTGGCTGAGGTGGTAATAGGATCTGCCGTCTTCCCCCTGGGGTGTAGGGACTTTGGGGTCTGTGTTTAGCCATTTCTATTGACTTCAGTGGTGAAAGAGAGTCCAAATGAAAATTGGGTGATCCTGGAGCCAGCAGGAACGTGGGTGGTGGGGAATATTTGTATCTGTTTAAAGATCTGGCTTGATGGCTCCCCGAGGAGCCAGGGCCTTGTCGCTAGCACTCGCCATTAGAGATTGATCAGCCAGCCGCAAGAAGGAAATCTGACATCCTTGCAACAACGGACCAGCCCTTTATCTACCAGCTTTTAGCATCTTAGCGCTTCTGCCTGTCTTCCTGCCCTGTGGCTGGATTCTGCCTGGAACACGGGGCCTTCCTGTTTCTGAGACTTGGGGTTCGCTGCTCTGCTAACCCAGCTCTCTCTAGTTGTGTATGCTTGGCTCTGGTACCAAATAGTTGGGATGACTGAAGCATTCCTCTCCCCTGCACATCAGCGCAGATGCTGTGACTGCCCACCCCTGCCAAGTGCCCTCTGCCTGAGCTTGCCACCTGGGTTGCATTGTTCTGTGTGAGTTACGAGGTGCCTTTCCCGGAACCCTCCTCTCAGTTGGACCCATGAGTGGCCCTGGCTCTGTCTGGGGTTCTTGGTTTTGAGAGGGTCTGGACTGGTTTGGGTGCTTTAAAATAGATTTTTAGTTTAGTGGTGCTTATTGGGGCAGAAGTGGTAGAACTTAAGTATGAGAATTGGGTGGACGGGAAAGTTCAGTCTTTGGGTCTTTTTATTTCTTGCTTTTGCTATTTTGTCATTATCTGGATGTTAAAATGCCAAAAATACCCTAGTCGCTATGGCTTTTCTGCCTGTTCTCCCAGGCTGGTCACTCTGTAGTTGCTCTGCCTTCATAGGGCATAGAGCAGCCCCTGTCTTGGCCAGCCCTCATGCCTGGCATAAGGAGATTGGCCTGCACCTTTCTGAGATTTAGTGTAATTTCATGCTCATCTCTCTGGTCCTGTGTCCAATCAGTAGTCCAGGAGAGAAGCTTCTGCTAAACTAATGAAATTTGTCCAAATCACCCCAAACCACCACTTGACTCCAGGCTTCCAC